TAATAAACGATTAACGCAGCCATGGGTAGACGGTAAGTTGAATAATTTAATATTAAAACGGGATTCTTTATTTAGAGCGTGGAAAGCGTCACCAAAAATTATGAACAAGCGTTTAGAATACACGAGATTTAGAAATAGAGTAAATAAAATTATAAATGATGGCAGAAACAAGTATAGACAAAAACAAATAAAGGATTGTAATGGTGATAGCAGAAAAATATGGTCCAATATTAATACATGGTTAGGGAGAAATAAGGCAGATGTGGATTTAGTACTTAAGAAGTACTTGGGTAGAAATTATAGTTTATATAACATTTGCACAAAATTTTCTACAACATTTACTAATGAAATATTAGACATTAAGCATACTTGTAAATTAAAATTTTTAGATAGAAACACGTACGTTACACAGAGCGAAGTGTCTTTTAGGTTTAAGAAAGTGAAATCATGTGACATAGAAAAAGTAATTGATAAATTGCACCATAAAAAGCACCAGGTTTGGATGGGATTAGGGTGAAAGATTTAAAGTTAGTAAAGAAAAAAATAAGTCCAATACTAGCCCATTTTGTTAATATGTGCTTGTCAAAAGGTGTTTATCCTGACTTATTAAAGAAAGCAATTGTTCGTCCCATATTTAAACACGGAAGTAATTTAGACTTCAGTAATTACCGGCCAATAGCCATTTTATCATCGGTCAATAAGATTGTTGAAAAGGTGGTTGTTGGCCAAATAACCGACTTTTTGGAACAGCATAGTATATTATCAGAGGCACAACATGAATTTCGAAAAAATCGTAGCACAACTTCTGCACTTACACTATTTTCAGATACAATTAATCAATATTTAAATGATGGAAAACAGGTTATGGTTTTGTTTATTGATTATAAAAAAGCCTTTGAAACTTTGGACCATAATATATTATTGCAAGCGATGGAGGAGTGTGGAATCAGGGGGCCTACAAATAACTTTTTTCGTAGCTATCTATCTAATAGGACGCTCCGTACTGTAGTTGATGGTGTTGTGGGAGAGGACGCCCGTATTAGCTTGGGTGTACCGACTGGTTCTGTTTACGGTCCTGTCGGTTATATTATGCATGTAAATAGTGTATCTAATGTAATAAAAAATTGTCAAGTGTATATGTATGCGGATGACATATGCTTGCTATTTGCCTCTAAAGAAACAAAAGAATTGCAAAATAATATACAGAGTGACTTTGAGAATATAACAAAGTGGGCCCATGATAATGGCGTAATCTTAAATTTTAATAAAACAAAATGCATGCATATACACTCTCCATATACTGCAGCGAGAAACATCACATTAAATGAGATGGCTGTTGTTGTGGGCCACTGTTTTGAGTGCTTACATAATAATAAAATGAATTGTAATTGTAAAGAAATTGAATTTGTTGATAAGACTTAGGACTGGTAATTGATCAAAACTTTAATTGGAAACCTCAAATATCTGATGTATGTACAAGGCTGTCAGTGATATTAGGTAAATTCTATTTTTTAAATTACATTTTGAACAAAAAATCTATGTACCTTCTATGCTATGCTTTGGTGGATTGCCTCATAGGTTATGGACTTGGTGTGTACGATCGCACTTTTGCTTCTTATATAAAGAACATTAAAAATTTACAGACAACATTTCTAAAATATCTTGTAAATGAAAAAGTTAACGAAAATTGTAAGAAAGATTATAATAAGTTATTCTATATTTGTAAAATTTTACCGGTAGAACACAAAGTTAACATGCTATTAGTTTTGGAAAACATTAATAAAAATCATTATAAAGAAAAAGTGGATAATAAATATTGAACCAGGAAAGTTAGAGAAGGGAAATTAGTTGAGCCTAGTGTTAAAAACTACTATGGTAAAAGATGTACAAAATACTTAATACCAAAGCTTTTTAATGAAATAGACTGGATAAGACAAGGTAGACCTGAGTGTAAATTTACAAATAAAAAAAAGCTTAAGAAGTATTTTTTAGAGAAAATAGAAGATACATGATAGCGTATTTATACGACAATTTGTAAAAGTTGTAATATTAGAATTACTAGAATATAAAAATAATAGTGTTTATACTTAGGATTTATTTGCTATTTGTTTGCTATATTATGTGGGTGGTGTACTTATTTAATTATGTAATAGGATATAAGAGTGCATTTATTCGCCAACAAACTGTCTTTACAGTTTGGCGAAGTTATAAAATAATGTTATGTTCTTGTAAATGTTGGTAAATAAATAAATAAAAAAAAATAGGACAAAAACATATCCGGAGCCTAGACGAGAAAAGATAAAGCATGCAAATACAGCGGTATTTGCATGCTTTATCTTTTTCAGCCGCTTCACAAGCCGCACCATCTCTGTTGTTGGCTCCATGTAGATTGGAAGGGGCCAACGTGTCTAAACAGGTTGCATCCCATACCAGCACCCGGCCTATTTTCCACGGAATCAAACTCATACCGTCCGGTCTCTTGCAATACCAGACGGCTCATATAGACTTGGCACGTTGACGGTGGCAAGGGAACGGCGTATGATATCGTTAAGTGCTGCATGTCTCGAGAAGCGGCATGCACTTTTTTGGCATGACAGTCCGTGATGTCCTAGCTTGTCGACATCACTGCCACAGGGACATTTATGAGGAGCGCAGACCGGGACCGCAACCTGTAGACAGGTTGCGATTCGGAGCATGTCAGGCTCAAGAAATGTTCCTGTATTTGACGAAGGGTACGCGTGAAGCCCGTAGCCGGCCTCATGCGTAACCACGGCCAAAAGCCTAGCACGCGCTGAACCTGTACTATAGCTCATAAGATTGTCATAAGTCAATTTGCAGTTTATGTCGACCCAGCTCCTATGTGGAGAAAATGGAAAATTTTGACCTGGGCATGCAATAACCCGATTTACCGAATTGAATGCATTTTTGACATCAATTTTGAGCAACACGTCAGGTGGTCCGTAAGTTAAGAAAGAGCGTAGGGCATGGACGGCTGCCTCACACCCTCCTTTTACACCGAAGCCTAACTTTACGGGTATAAATTCCGAATTTAATTTTGGTAAAATATGTCGAACAGCAATTTTGGAGGCCAGACGTAGTGTTGATCCAACAGCAATTGGTCTCACCCCTTCGTCCTTTTTGTTGAGGGCAATGAGGTTCGCACACAATCACAAAAAAGAATAACTTAAAACAATTTTAAAAACACAATAAAGTAACTTAAAATGTACACTGAAAATATAAAAACTTCAAAGTCAAAATATGACGGCTGCTTGTTTTGGTAACAAGACGCATGCGTCGTTACGCAGGTGCGTCACAGGATGGTCTTGCAATTCGAAGCTGCAGTGGAAGAGATTCGTCGCTAGGACAACCGATGGCGGCAATTACAATTGCGGCTTAGCAATTGAAATTATCACACGCGGATTAGAAGTTTTTAAAGATTGAACAGGCACCATGGTGGGAGCAACAATAAAATCCCCATACGCACATAAAAATATCTTGATAATTTTTTTATATTCAGGTCTGAGCCGTCAGGGAATTAAACTGAATTAAAAATAAATATTTTAAGTGAGCTGATCCTGCTTGTCACTTTTGCTTGTTTATGTGAAGAAAATCAACAACACAGCAAAATATTGTTCTATGCACTAAAAAGTAATATTCCTTGAAAAATTTATATTTTATTCTTTCAATTTTCTATCGTGGAGGTATTTAAATGCAATGTACTTATGCCTGATTTGAAGATAAAATATGAAGGTAATAAGGTACTATGTGAAATTACCTAAACCAAATAAAGTTAAGTTGTATATTTGGGTATATATGTATCTGTATTTTTATGGAAAGGGTTTATTTTTCACGTTTTCTAGTGGAATGCAGAAAAGTGCATCATGTCCAGATATAAAAGATTTTAGAAGTGAACTATAAAAATATAGATAAATTGATAAGATATATAAAGTATTTAATTTGTAAATCGTAAATTCTACTACAAGTTTATTTATATATCGACACCACTAATTGGAGCTATGGATTATTAGCATATCGCACCTTTAGAATTGAAGTGGCTTAACTAAGAATTTTAAGAAAATGACTTTTATACATTGAATGACTTAGAAACATATACTCGTATTCTATCAGTTTATTAAAAATAAACAGACTCTTTTAGTCTAGAAAAGGTCACACGTATTCTTTCCGCCTCTTTTAAATCACGCACCTACCGCACATCCCCTCGTATTGGAGGACCCCATTCCCATTCAGTGTTGCGTGGACAGTGCTAAACGTTAGGCCCCCCGCTAATTGTGATTTTTTGTCCCGGTTACTTTTCGTTACCTAGTCGAGTGCTATGAAAATATATGGGAGTGCGCTGATTATGGTGACGTGATAATACGGTGACAAATATCTGCAGTGGCAGGCAACACCGGAGTGACGTGACTGTCACTCGCCCTGTACATTACTATGGGAGTCCGCTCACTGGTGACTTTTTGTCATTTGGCCGGCGCCGCGCGTTCGGAGTAGACGTATGCTATTTAAAGTGTAGCTGTGTTTTGTTTTAGATGTCGTCTTCTTTGCAAGGGGAAGACATTGACAATGAATTATTAATAGAGGAGGTAGAGAAGCGGCCTGCATTATATGCAAAAAATTTAAAGCAATATTCCGATATAATTTTAAAAAGAAGATTATGGGATGAAATAGTATTACACTTGTTTCCAACAAGAAGTTTATCACAGGAACAAAAATAAAATGCAGGTAATTGTATTAGCGTTTATTATACTTTACTACGTTACTTATTTATAATTATTAGATTAAATTAGGGCGATAGGCAATTATAGTTCTTGCATAGGTTAGGTATAGGTATCACTAGAGCGTTGCGTAATTATTATTTACCCACATTGACATAAGATTGAAATTTAAATGAATAATTGCGTATGCACTTGTGAATTGTGACTATTATTTTCATAAGTTGTAACTTATGGCAATATGAAAAAATATAACTAAACATGTATGTTTAGTTATATTTTTTCATATTGCCACGGTACGGATCCTTGTGGTGAAATAAAATAAGAAGTAAAATAATTTCTTATATTGACACAGGACATATTTCGATGCCACTGATGTGTAGACGTATTGCTGAGCGTACATTCGTACGCGGTATCTGGGTATTGAATTCCATCTCTAACGCGTACATAGTTATCTAATGTACAGCAAGCCATTACAATCTTATCACAAAATTCTATGTTAACATCGATAGGTCTGTGTAGAATTCTCCATTTATTACACAGTATTCCAAATGTGCATTCCACCATTCGACGTGCTCTTGCATGTCGATAATTAAAGATTCTTTTGGCAACTATAAGTCCTCTCTTAGAAAACGGTCGTAAGATATTTTTCGACAGACCAAAGGCTTCATCACCTACAATGCAAAAAGGCATTATTTTTCCATTTTCATCATTATGTAGAATTCGTTCAATCGGAATATTTAATAAATTCTCTTGATGCCTTCTACCTGTATTCGAATTTTTAAAAATCGTCGAGTCGCTTGCGCTTCCTTGTGATTCGACATCAATGTAGATGAATTTATAATCTTCGTCTAGCCATGCCATCAGATCCACTGTGCTTTGGATTCGTTATTCTAACATCGACGGCGCCGATAATATTAGGAAAGTTAGTACGCTCGTAAAACTGATCAGCAATTTTATACCAGTCTTCTTCATTTTTTTCTGCCATGTACAGAGGTTGCAATGCTTCCCATATAGATTGACACGTTGAATTTACAATATTACGAAGTGTTCTGGCTCCAATTAGGTATTCAAAAGATAATGCATTGAAACTTGCACCAGTTGCTAATTACCTGTAAATAAAAGAATGTTATTTTTTACAGTTAAAGTGATACAACGTCGTTGGAAAAATTTAAGAGCATGTTTTTCGAGGGAGCTTCGTTATCAAAAAGACGTAAAATCAGGGCAAGCTGCACCTAAACGAAAACGATACGTGTACTTTGATAAGTTACTGTTTTTGGTACCTTCTATGGAGCCAGGGAGAGAAACCTCAAGTATCGTGACATCGCTTAACGAAGTAGCAATTAGTGAGAACGATTCTTCTACACCAGCAATAACACAACCAACAAAAGAAAAGAAGAAGAATAAAAGTTACGAAGAATCTTTATTAAAAATATTAAGAGATAAAACCAACCACCAAGACATCCAGACACCACCAGACCCAGAAAATTATTTCGCGTTATCTTTGGTTCCATTATTAAAGTAAATTCCACCAGATCAGAAAATTGATGCACAGATTGCGATTTTGAACACGCTAAAATAATATACGCAATCTTCTAGTAACTATAATATTTATAATTCTACTGCTGCAACATACATTCTTCCTCAACCACAACAACCTCGTATAATTTCGCAACAAATGATGTCCTCAACCCAACCAGCACCAGCTCGTATACTTCCTCAGCCAATAATGTCTACAACCCAACCACAACCTCAACCACCACCACCATCACCTCGTGTACTTTCACAACAATATTTCAATCCCTCTGCACGCTCTACATCTACTCAATCTTTTTATGATAGTATGTCTCCCCCGCGGTCGAACGAAACTGTGCCATATGTGTCAAATTACTCTGTAGATGATTGTGATATTGCAAATTTTTATGCCTCTGATTAATAAAGATTTTTTGTAATAAGTAATTGATGTAGTTTTTGTTACTTACCTCAAAGTTACCGTTAACCTTTCTTCTGCTGGAATAGCTTTGCGAAATGTTGTATCTTGAAATGTGATCTCAGGACCTACCAAAGCCAGCAATTCATCGAAAGAGTTTATAGACGTACGAAGATAATTAAAAAACTTTGGTGGATACTGACGTAATTTAGAATACACTATATATTCTGAATTACGTAGTGGCTCATTTTGACAAAATTCGATCAATAACGCATAAATATTTGACTAAAGGACATACACAGAACGATGGGGATAATGCACATAGTTTAATAGAAAAAGAAATAAAGCGAAACCTAAGATCTGGTCCAATTTGTTAGTAAATGTGAACGCAACCATTTATATATGTTTTTGTGTGTTGGCAACATCTTATTTCTCTATGTTAAGTACAATTAAATATTTTTGTACTGGCAACATTAGAAATAATCTGTCTAGAACTCTGTGTAGAAATGTCTGAATCTCTTATGTTATTTTTGGTCTGCGATGTATCTGATTAAAACAGAATAAACCAGCATCTTGAAGAAATAACTAATGGTTTATTTGCACTCCTAATAAGTTATGGACCCAGTGCTCATGGTTCTGTTTTTAGGCGAAGATCGCAGAGATAGTTTTTGGTGTGAGCGAGGAGTCGGCGCAACAGGTGTGCGGTGTTTTGGTCAACAACACAGGGCTGTGTTGTTGTTGAAAGCGGCGTCTGAAGGTCGTGTGGATTGCAGTCGAGGCAAATCACGGCATCAGATTTCCGCGGGGTGTAGTTGCTAAATGTCGGAGACAGACCCTAGCATCATGGCGGTGGTGGCGCCAAGCTCGGTCATCAAACTGGAGGGCCAGCGCAACTGGAGCGTGTGGAAATTCCAAGTAACAGTTACACTGAAAGGAGCTGATGTGTTTTTAGTGGTTGATGGAACGTTTGTGAAACCAGAAACTGGAGATATAACAGCCTGGTTATAAAAAGATGTCAAGACGCAGAGTATCATCGTGTCTAGACTGAATGAGGAGGCTATGATCACGTGCTAACATGTGAAACGGCTGCTGAAATGTGAAAAAAGTTACAAAGTGTCTTTGAGGCAAAGTCGGCTACCAGTACATTGATGTTACAACAACGTTTTCTTCAGTGCAAGTTTGAACAAGAAGAGCTTTCTGTATACTTAGCCAAGCTGCAAGAAATGGCTTGTCAACTAAAACAAGCTAGTGAAACAGTGTCAGAATTTTTTTAATTACTATAGTTTTAATGTCATTACCAGAAGCATATAATGGGATAATAATAATGGGAATCTGTTGACACGGATAAGCAAAATTTTAATGATTTGGTGGTACGGCTTCTCGCCGAGGAGGAGAGAATAAAAGCTAAAAATCATGAGAGTGGAAACATGGCGCTGTTCGTAAAGAAAAACGGTTTTATCAAGCGCTGCAATCGATGTTCTGTCCTTGGTCATCTGGCTAAAGACTGTAAAAGTAATGTGGAAAATCGTCGTTGCTTTTCTTGTGAAACAATCGGACATTTAAAAATTCAGTGCAAAAAGGGAAAATAAAGCAAAAATAGTGTGTGCGGAGTATGGAGGTGGAGAGTGTTGGAGGCTCCAGGTATTTTTTGCTAATAAAAGATAAATACTCAAACTACAGAATGGTCTACTTCTTAAAGAAAAAGAGTGAGGCAGTATCATGCATAAAGAGGTTTGTTGCTTGGTCCGAAAGGCAAACAACAATGTGAAAATCATACGCACGGATAATGGATTAGAATTTTGTAACAATGAAATGCATAACTTTGTGCAGGAGAAAGGCATACAGCATCAAACAACAGTGCCCTACACGCCTCAGCAAAATGAAAAGGCTGAAAGAGACATGCGTACACTTGTTGAAGCGGAGAGGACCATGAAAGCAAATAGATTGCCAAAATATTTATGGGCAAAGGCGGTAAATACAACCGTCTACGTATTGAACCGTACTTCGAAGAGCAAGCAGGAAGGCCTATCTCCCTATGAATCTTTCCATAAACGTGAAGTAAACATCAATGATCTAAAAGGAGTATTTGGTGAACGAGTATTTGTGCACATACCTAAAGAAAAAAGGTTGAAGTGGGACGACAAAGGAGAAGAGGCAATCTTAGTTGGCTACGAAGACACAAAAGGTTTCAGAGTGTATTATGAGAACAGACGAGAGGTCCATATCCGAAGGGATGTAGTATTTTTGGAAGGCAAGAGAGTGGAGGAACCGAAATGTGACCAGAAGGAGGTGATGGAGGAAATGGTTTTGCTGGACATGTCATCTGAGAACGAAGTAGTAGAGCATCATGAGAAAAGTGACGAAGAGTTCCATGACACAAATACGGATGAAGATGAAGGTAAAGAACAGGATAAGACACCGGAAAACACAGAAAATATACCACCGGAGAGGACTGAGAAAGGGATAAATCAAAATGAGACGGAGGATCTGAATACAGGAATAAAAAGTCAAAATTCAGCAACGGAAGTTCAAAATCAAGGACAAAGTAGCAAAAGAAAAGTTACAAAGCCAAAGAAATTAGAAAATTACTATCTGTATGTTACTGTAGAACCTAGAAACTACAGAGAAGCAATAGCATCACCGGAAGCTGAACACTAGAAAGAGGCCATAAGAAAAGAGCTCAACCAACTAAAGGAAAATAACACATGGACAGAGATAGAGACAATACCGGAAGGAAAAGAAGTAATTAGCCCTAAGTGGGTCCTTAAAAGAAAAGGAAATGACTACAAGGCGAGATTGGTAGCTAGAGGCTTTGAACAGGACTATAAAGAAGATTTATATGCACCTGTGGCAAAACTTAATACTTTTAAAATTTTTGTATCTGTAGCTACAAAACTAAATTTGAATATTAGTCAAATGGATGTTTGCGGGGCTTTTTTAAATGCTAAGCTTGATGAGGAGCTATATTTGTCACTGCCAGAGGAAACTGAGGTAAAATTTGTAAAACTAAATAAATCAATCTATGGTTTGAAAAGGTCTCCCAAATATTGGAATGAAACATTTAATAATGTAATGTTATCTATGGATTATAAACAGTCTGATAAGGACTATTGTTTGTATTCTAAATGTGAAGGGAAAAATAAAACATTCTTATTGTTGTATGTGGAAGATATACTGTATTTTGGAAACAACAAACTTGAACTGAGTAAACTAAGAAACATGCTATGTCAAACATTTAAAATGAAAGAATTGGGGGCTATAAGTAAATGTTTAGGTATTGATGTAAACCAAGATTTAGATTCAGGGGTCACTGTAATTTCACAAAAGGACTACATAAGAAATATTTTATCAGAATATAATATGTCAGATTGTAAAACATTGTCTTACCCATTGATAAAAATTTTAATTTTCATATTCTAAAGAGGGAAAAGTCAGTGTTCTAATTGAAAATAAATGTAGAAGATTGACAGGAAGCTTGATGTATGCGGCAATGGTCACTAGGCCAGACATATGTGCAGTTGTTAATATTCTAAGTCGGTATCAGAAGTGTGCATCCACACTTTTGTTTAAACTATTGTTAAACATTTTGAGATATTTAAAGGGCACACTTGATTAATGTCTTATATACTATAGAGATTCTAATTTTGATGAGGTTTTAGGCTATGTTGATATTGACTGGGGTGGTTGTAATGATCGTATGTCAACAACAGGGTGTATTTTTAAAGTTTTTCTAAGTTGTGTAATGTGGTTTTCAAAAAAACAGCAGACTGTTTCCTTGTCCTCTACAGATGCTGAATTTATTTCCCTGTGTTCAGCAAGCAGTGAAGCTTGTTGGCCAAAAGATATTTTGTACATTTTTGGGTTCGAGACTAATATAGTAATTTTTGAAGACAACCAGTCCACTATCAAGATGGCACAGATGGCCACTGGTAATTCTAGAGTAAAACACTTAAAAATGAAGCTTTCATTTGTAAAAGAAAAGTTGAATAAAAATATTATAGAATTGAGATACATAAATACCAGTGACCAACTCGCAAACATATTAACCAAAGCTGCGGAGGGAACTTTGTTTAGAAAATTAAGGCATAGGTTGTTTAGTAAATAAAAAGTCTTATTGTTATTAAAAAAAATATTGAGGGGTGTTAAGTACAATTAAATATTTTTGTACTGGCAACGTAAGAAATACTCTGTGGTAAGCTGCGATGGCTGGAATCTCTTGTGTTGTTTGTGTTCTGCGATGTATCTAATTAAAACAAATTAAACGAGCATCTTAAAGAAATAACTAATGGTTTATTTGCAAAGCCCTAACACTCTATTCTCATTCGCATAGATAACTCCTAATTCATGGTTCATGTACTGTACTGAGTAATTTGCCATTGTTAATAAAATACATTCTTGCATATTTCCGAGTTCTACAGCTATTTTAATGGTTTCATCCCAAAATATCAACATGGTAGCAGAGCGTGGTTGATGAAAATCATTAGCAGTAAAAAAAAAAGAAACGCAGAACAAAATCTTGCAGCGGTGTATTTGTTCCGTCACCTCATCGTCATACATTTTGAGGTTACCGCATAACCTAACCTGGAGCGGCGTGCTCGCTCAGTCACATTGTTGAAAAATTGTTATTACATGTAGAAGATTTCCAGTACAAGCCACAATCCTTTTCACATTGACAGACTCGTCGGAAGAAACAATTATGCGAGTTCGCAGTGGAAGCGTATTTTAAGATTTATGGAGTTGTGTCGAAGGAACTAATACCGATCCCAGGAAAGAAACAATGGAATAATCTAAGCTTATTTTACTGCTTGATCCGATCAATTACGTGCATGTACAGCGCGAAACTACATGCAAAGATGTCTGGGACAACTTACAGCAAGCTTTTGATGACAGCGGGTCATACAGAAAAGTTGCCCTGTTGCGCGACCTCATCACAACTACATTGGACAGTTTTCAAAATGTAGATGATTATGTGAATAAGACAATATCAACAGCTCATAAGCTTAGGAATATCAAATTTGACATTGATGATGAATGGCGTGGAACACTGATGTTGGCTGGCTTACCCGAGGTATATAAACCATTGAGACGGATTGGAGAGCTCAGGAATCAAGATCTGTGCAGACTCCATCAAAACTAAACTCCCTGCAGGAAGTTCAATGCTCAGAAAGCACAGTATTCTTCAGTAGGAAGACAGCCGTTTACAAACATCATAGTACAGGAAAGGCCTGTATTCAGAAAGGGCCTCGATGTTATAATTGTAACAAGCGCGGACACTTTGCAAAGAACTGTCGTGCTCCTAAGAAGAAGAATATTGAAAAAGTTGAAGAAAATAAAAGTTTTGTTGCAGCATTTCCAGCATGTTTACAAACAATGAATCCGGAACTTTGGTATGTGGACTCAGGTGCCTCCATGCACAAGACCAATAGATGTGATTGGATGTATGATGTAACAAGTCCACTGATACCCACCATAACTGTTGCCAGTAGGACACCACTACCTGTGTAAAATATGAGAAAGGTAAATTTATTGATAAATGGTGCCGTGTAGTGGCGGTTAAGAATATCCACTACCCCATATCTTCCCGTGGGTGTCGTAAAAGGCGACAAAGGGAAACAGACAAGAGATGGGCAGCAGCATCTTCCTGATAACAGCAAAAATACAATAAAAAACCTGCGGTTGCCAACCCGCTCGCCAAGCGTGGCAACTATGGCAAATACCCCCCAAATGGATGGATAAAGTTACTAAGAGACGACCACCAGTCCCCGGCGGCCCCGCTATTCCTGGTTACGGTGGCGACCATGGTAACGTCGGGGCAGGGGATGCTAAGAATCTCCGGTGGAGGTTCGGTTGCCACTTACCACGACTCGACCTGGCAACACACAACGCACGCATCCTGAGGACTGACGAGAAGATTGTGGAGCTGGAAGAAGAGATAGACAAGTTACGCGGGCATATTATAGGATTATCCGAAGTCCAAAGAGGGGGGAGGAAACGGTAATCCTTGAAACCGGCAACTTGTTCTATTACCGGGAGAGCGACCATCTGTCCCAAGGAGGTGTCGGATTCATCGTCCACAAGTCTCTCGTTAACAACGTTGTAAAGATTGAGAGTGTGTCGACGAGGGTTGCGTACCTTATACTCAGAATCACGAAACGGTATTCGCTGAAGGTCATACAGGTTTACGCACCAACCTCGCCACACCCCGATGAGGAGGTGGAGGAAATATATGAGGATATCTCTAGAGCCATGCATTCCTTCAAAACCCGATATACGGTGTTAATGGGAAACTTCAATGCAAAACTAGGCACAAGAGAGAATGGTGAGCTGAAAGTAGGGAAATTTGGAATAGGGCAACGGAACTCAAGGGGCCAGCAGCTGGCCGACTTCATGGAGAAAGAGGGACTATTTATGATGAACTCTTTCTTCCAGAAGCGGCCCCACAGGAAGTGGACCTGGTGGAGCCTCGATGGTTCGACAAAAAATGAGATTGACTTCATTATGACGACCAGACGACAACTGTTAAGTGATGTCTCAGTGATTGCGAGGGTGAAAACCGGCAGCGATCACCGAATGGTTAGAGGCACACTGAACCTAAACGTTAAGTTGGAGAGGTCTCGTCTAATGAAATCAACGCTCCGTCCCACTCGTGCTCTAATCCAAAGTCCCGAAACCTTTCAGCTCGAGTTACAAAACCGTTTTCAGTGCCTAGAAGACTGCAATGAAGTGGACGATACGAGTATGAATGAATGACAAGCTCGTGGAAACTGTCCATGCGGTCGGAGCTAAGTTCTGCAGGACCCGCCGCAGAAGAACACAAAAACTCTCCGATCACACAAATTCAATACAGCTCGTATTGAAGAAGCGATCGAGCGGATCCAAGGCTCCAAAGACTTTGCCAGAGATCTGTCTGCCAGAAAGAGCCAACTGTCAAAGCTGAAGACAGAATGTGGCAGCATCGTTTTCGGGGCACCTGAGATTTTGAGTTAGATTGAGAGGTTCTATGGGAAGCTGTACACGTCATCGTTGGAGCCACACACAAGTGTGAGTAACGATCCAAGAGCGAGTCTTATCCGACATTATTCCGATGTTATCCCGGACGTCAGTCTGAGCGAGATTAGAATGGCTCTCCAGCACCTTAAAAACGGCAAGGCCCCAGGCGGGGATGGAATTACAACGGAGCTTCTGAAAGCGGGTATAAAACCGGTACTTGAAGTCCTTTATAAGCTCTTTAATTCCGTCCTCCATGGTGGTATTACACCGGAGGCGTGGAGCAGAAGTGTGGCGGTCTTATTCTTCAAGAAAGGTGACAACGCTCTCTTGAAGAACTACAGACCGATTTCCCTTCTGAGCCGCGTCTACGTGCTGTTTTCGAGAGTCATTACGAATCGTCTCGCGCGCAGACTTGACGACTTCCAGCCTCCCGAACAAGCCACTTTCCGAAAAGGCTTTAGCACCATAGACTCATACATACCCTTCAACAAATTGTACAGAAGTCAGAGGAGTACAATTTGCCACTATGTCTGGCGTATGTGGACTATGAGAATGTACCTTCAGCGGTGCCAAGTTGACTGTCGGTATATCTAAGTGCTGAAGTGTTTGTACAGTAGGGCTACGATGGCTATCCGAGTACAAAACCAGAGTACGACCTATCCAATTGC